AAATATTGGGTAACTTGATATACGCAAGTAAGAATATTTATTAGTTACATAAGAGTGGCAGAAAGTAAGAATAAAAGGAGGATGGTATTAAAAAATAATAGAAAATTAATTACCAGAATCACCCCGTCCAAAAACGTCCAGAAAAACTTGAAGTCTGTAAAATGGCGGACGACGAATAAGAACCAGCCAATCACCTTTGTGAAATAGATCAACTAATATTCAGATGGTTCTAGGTAGAGGGCTCTACAAAAACAAAATTACAAACGCAGATGGTTGAATAATCATTGAAACCTCTCGTTTATACATTTATAAATATTGAACAGAACTGGAAATTCTAATGTTCAACGGCATAGCATCGTCGAATCAGTACGGAAAGCTGTTGCTATGCCCACAAATCTGATGTTTCGTACTCACATAGGTATACTGACTTTATTGTTTGTATTATGTTTATTTTATTCCAGTGGTCTTAGTCTCTCCGACCGCTGCACTCTGATTGTCTCAAAAGCACGCAGAACCACCTTGTTAATTCTCCAAAATTTTGAAACCATCAATGTTAGCACCATCTTTTAGAGAATGTGCGTTAAACCTAGTCAGGAATACTGCCCATTTCCACTTAGCCTCCGATGCACTAGTAAACGGGGAAAAAAAGGAAATCGGCCAGAAATCTACAGAACACAGCTACCTGTCTTAACAACAACGTTGTTAGTTTAATAACCTGGATCCGCTACAGATTCGCAAAATACATAGTGGTTTATTTTATTGTTTAAACATTTAAAACGTCGTACTTTTAATTCCCCTACAGCCTGAACACTCTCGGTGACCAGTCACCGCGATGTCTTCTTTTTTCTTCCCCCGGTAGGTGGGGTTAGATCTCGTCAGTCCGTTTCAGTAAACGCCATTCCACTCTGGATTAAGTAGACAGGGATAAACAAAAAAATTGTCCACCGGTTGGCTCTATTGCATGGATCGTCCAAGATCCTAAACAAATCTTGATATTTCACTAGTTAAGCTAGGTCACCCCACTCCTCCAAAAGCAAATTGCCCTATGTAGTACAAGTTAAATAGTATACTGCAGGGATATCTACTGAACCATCGTACCAGCGCTATCTCTCACGCACGGGCCATGGCTGCGTTCACTCCAAAATTGTCAAATCCTTTAGACATGAACTTTTACAA